TCTTGCAAGCTCTGGGTTCGCTCTCACACATTCGTGCAATCTCCACGTCCTCGCGGTGATGCAACGCAAGGAGGATCCGCGTTTCTTCGGAGAATGAAGTCCTCGCCCCCCCCCCTCCCCCTCCCACATGCAATTTCTATCAATTCGACCCCAAGCCCGGCATGGAGGCTCCTCGCCCGCCCCTCCCCTATGGCACCCCCACCACGTGCCTCTATCTCCGTCTACGCAGATAACCCCACTCCCTGTGTCCAGGAATCCGTATCGGCGAGTGCCACCCGGCCCCGCGGACCCGCTATCGCCCGACGCCGCCCAGACCATGCTGTGCGCGGCGGCACCCGAGTGCCAAGGCCGCGTCAGCTGATTGCGCTGTTTACATCCCCGCGTCAAAGCCCTGGGATGGCTTCGCACATTTTCCATACGCATTATTCGTATATTCTCATTATTCTCTCTTTCAAATATACAGGGAAGGTGAGAATTGTATTTAACTAAAGCGATTCGGTTTTGTCTCCCAGAATAAGAGTCTCTGATGCATCTGGTTGCATACCTCTGCCCAATACCCACGGCCGCGCACACCCGGCGGGGCATGCAACCGGGACTGGCGCCGCGGCCCTCGGAAAGCACGCGCAAACCACCGCATCCGCTGCCCAAGATAGCCGTTCGCCGGATGCGCAGCCGCTCCGAAAGGTCACCGTGAATGCCGTGGAATCGTCGAAGAACTTTTCATTCTCTGTTGCGTCGAGAGAGAGAGAGAGAGAGAGAGAGAGAGAGAGAGAGAGAGAGATGAGAGAGAGAGAGAGGAGAGAGAGAGAGAGAGAGAGAGAGAGAGAGGAGAGAGAGAGAGAGAGCACTGCCTGCCTTAATATTCTCCTTAATGTGGAAGGACGATTTCGGCTTCTCAGGAGCCAGCATGCTTCGGGTCAAGAAAAGCGTGTGTGTGTGTGCGTGTGCGTTGCGTGTGCATGTGTTGTGTGCGTGTGCGTTGTGGCGTGTGCGTGTGCGTTGTGTGTAATTAAGATTGATTTGGGGTTGCTTGTGCCAGGCTCTTGTAGCATCAGTCAAATTGTGGCTTGTTGTTTATTGCGCTTCTTAACTACCCCCTGAATGGCCGGTCACCCTCCACTGGCGGTGCGCGGGAATCGACGCGGTCAGCAAGACTGCGAGCGCGAAAGCGCTCCCACGGCACCGCACAGCACACTACGGCGGCTGGACGCCTCTTTCCACTCGGGCAAAAACCCGCGACGGCCCACCTCCTGTTCCACGCCGCCACTCCTGTTCACGCCGCCACATCCTTGATCCCACGCCGCCCCACCTCCTGTTCCACGCCGGCCCACCTTCCTGTTCCCGCGCCACTCCTGTTCCGCGCCCACCTCCTGTTCCACGCCGCCCACTCTCCACGTCCTGTCCACGCGCCACCTCCTGCCCGCCAGCCGCCCCGCGCTGTTCCACGCCGCCACCTCCTGTCCCACGCGCCACTCCTGTTCACGCCGCACTCCTGTTCCACGCCGCCCACCTCCTGCCCACCGCCCTCCTCCACGCCGCCCCCTCTTGTTCCACGCCGAGACGCAGGACAAACGCGCGAGGGCGGCGGCGGCGGCTTTTCAGGCACAAACTCCTTGCGAATATTCTCAAGGAAAATGACGGCTTCCACTTCACAGACCGAGTTCCTTCTGGGAGGATACCGGTCAGACCTCGACCCTGCAGCTTAGAAACCGCACCAATGTCTGTGAACGATTTCCCTGCAGCTAATATAGGCCTAAACTCATCACAACAATCCTCTGAATTACTCCATACAAATCGGTCAAAACCAAGATAGGATTTTTTTTATCTGCTGATACGAAGAAGAAAAAAGGGTTCTCCTCCTTGCGATAGATAACTTTCACGATTACGAACTCTGATATCACTCTACTATTTCCGTCTCATGTTTTGTTCATTCTACGACTCGGTGTGCCATTTTCTCCCATCTGTCTGTCTGTCTGTCTGCTTGTTGCCATCCGTCCTTCCTGCCTAACTGCTTAACATACGGTCAGACTACCCGTTATTCGTGATATCCAGCGGTTTTAATGGACTTTGCCCATCGATGGACACTGGACTTCGGCCCACCCACTCGTCCGTCGTTGGTCGAAGGGGAAAACTGCGCACGTTCAGAATCTATAGTATGCATGGTATCCATACATTTTCATTTCATACCATTAATACCATTATATATTTCAAATTATTCATTATTCATATTTAGTTTTGCATCTACATTTACATCTAAATTTATACTAAAATACGAATAAAAAACAAAATCATTGACCATGGATTCTCATTTGACTGACGATGATAAACAAACGCGTAGCCTCCAACTCCAAGTTGAAATCGCAGATCCCGTAAATGTTCGAAACGTGGAATTGAGCATCAATTTACTCCCTCCTAGAAAAGGTCAGAACTCCGGAAAGATGAAGAATAACAAGAGTCACGACGAAGACCGCGGCGTCCATGGCGAGTTCCTGCGGTCACGATTTGTTTTGATGCCGCGATTCCACTGGACAAAGACGGTGGTTCTTTTCGCAGTTGGACTACCACGGACGGGTGCTGCCCTGCCTGCACGCCCCGCCGCCGCCCGCCGCCGCCTGCCTGCTGCTGCCTGCCTGCCTCACTGCCTGCCTGCCTGCTGCCTTGCCTGCTGCCT